ACCAGTGCAGCTGAGAAGCGTGACGGGTGTATAGCACCAGTGCAGCTGAGAAGCGTGCGGGTGACAGCACCAGTGCAGCTGAGAAGCGTGCAGGTGACAGCACCAGTGCAGCTGAGAAGCGTGCGGGTGACAGCACCACTGCAGCTGAGCAACATGCAGGTGACAGCTCTACGCGTGCGGATGTGTCTCAGCTGCTTCTGCTGCTGGGGCTTTGTGGTTTTGCGGCCCTGTGCTGAGTGGAGCCCGGTGGAGGGGAGTTTATGCTTCTACTGAGAGCACCTCCGTCTCTCCACACACTTTTTAAACTAAATAAAGTCTCACGTGGACACTTGTTTTGTTTTATTTTCCGCTTTTTTTAAATTGTAACGCAGGACGTTTTTTTTTTTTTGGTTCCGCTAATTGTGCTCTTCTTTCGCGCCAGCACAGCGGGGTCCTCATGTATTTTCTTTCTATTTGTTTGTTATATTGTTCGCCTCTAGCAATGGCGGGAGGCAATTCACCGATTTGCTTTTTTGTGTATCGGTTGAGTATATTGTTGGTGCATTGATTTATGGCTGCGGTATTTTTGTTGTTGTTGTTTTGTCGGTTGGTTCTTGACGACGGCGTTGAGCCTGCGCGTTTGCTTGGCAGGGGGAGATGCTTCACTGCGTCCCCGCACTGCGGTCGCCGCGGGAGGTACCGGGGCTCTCTCTTACGTCCCGGCTTTTTTTGGTGAGTGCGGACGTGTGCCACGGTGCCGGCTGACGCGTAGGCCATCGAATTCGTTCGAAAAGACACGAAAACAAACAACTAACCGCTTTTCTTGGGCGATTGCGGACGCTCTCGGCATTGTGTGTCCGCCGATGGGAGAAGGAAAGAAGGAAGGAAGGAGTGGGAGCCACAGCAACGCACCACGGGTCCCTGTGGAAGTTAAGCGGTGCCTGGGCACCGGGGCCTTCAGTGGTTTAAACGAATATATCATTTATTTTTATATGCGGCCAAAACATAAACACTTTTTTTTTGTTTGAAAGATCGTGCAGGGGCCTTCCACGGCATTTTTTTTTGTTTTTTTCTGAAAACGTCTTGAGGAGTAATTTTTTTTTTTGTTAAATCATATTTCATGTATGTTTACGCTGCACGGGCTTCGGTGCCATTTTGAGTCTTAGCCATCTACTTTTCCCATCTTTGCGTCCTGCATCTCTTCTGTGTGTGTGTATGTGCGTCCTCACACGCTTTACTCTTCTTCCTTCTTTTTTGTTGTATCTGCAGGCATATATGTATGATGCAGCGCGCGTGGAGGATGCTTTTGTAGTTGGTGCTGGCAGTGCTGTCTGTGGCTGTTGCCGCCTCCTTCCGTGGCAGTGGGAAGAAGAGGGACACAATGAGAGTGTGAGTGCGCACCGTGGCTCACTCTCTTTTCTTGCAAGTGCAGGGCGCTGCATGTGGGAGTGTTGTCTTGAAGCGCGGCACCGCCAACTGCAACAGCGTGGCACGGGGTGGGCGGCCTGTCTTGTCTGAGTTTGCTGCCGCTGTGGGTGCGTCCGCGCGGCACTTCGTCTTGCTGCGTATTCGGGCCTTTCTTTTGGGTTGTGTGGCTTGGTGGCGACGGTGGCGGGGTGTTTTTGCCTCCACTTTCATGCGTTGCCGTGGCAGAGCCTTGCGGGGGTGTGCGACCTAAAAAAGAAATGCAGAAGATTGTGTGGTGCTCACTGGGTGGTGGTGCGGTGGCCGCAGAGTGGGGCTGCCGCTTCTGCTCTTGCAGCGGGGAATATGCTGCCGCACTCTTTTTGTTGGTTGCGTCGGGGGAAAATGTGCCGGCGTCTGAGAAGCTGCGGGTTCCACCGCCACGACGACTGAAGGAGGCGGAGGTGTCTGCGGCTGCCTTCGCAGGCTGCGCCCCGTGCGGCCCAGTTGC